GCCCCCTGTCTCCTAGCCCCGCTTCTTCCTCGGGAGGTGGGCTGAGGGCGGTCGCTCTAGAGTCCGTATGCTGGGGCCGAAGCTGGGGCCACTGGTTACTTTCATTCCCCACCTTCCCGCTGTCTGCGAGTGAGATGGAGATGAGCATGAGGGATAAATGAGGCTCCTTGGTAAATTCGAGGTCTCCCTTCCCTGTCCCCTCCACTCTCCATTCTGTGGCTGTGCCCAGCTGAGGGAGCCGGCTGGATGTGCCATCTGCTCCAGTGTCAGCCCTTGGCTGGAGATCTTCAGACCGTTCGCCCCAGGCCCAGTCGTTTATTTATCCAACAGTATCTATTGAGTAGTAACCAGATGCCAAGAACTACGTGGCGTGCTGGGGATCTGGAGAAGAACAAAACAGTGACTCCCTAGTGCGGAAGTCAGACCGCTGTCTGCCGGGGCCCTTGCATAAGGTCTTTCCCAGTGTGCAGAGGTACCAAACGAGTTCTGGGTACAAGGGCCCTGCACAGCCAGCGTGACCCGAGCCACCTCAGCTCTGCAGCAAGGGGTGAACCACATCCGGTTCATTCTCCTAGAAGCCCCATCACGTGTGACCAGGTGTCCTCCTCTGCCCTCCTACCCCTTCTGTTAAACAAGGGCAGCTTCCTAAACGTGAGCGTCCCTGCATTGGAGTCCTCTGTCATTTCTTTTTTATTTTTTTAATCCTCACCCAAGGATTTTTTTTTTTTTTTTTTTTGGTACTTGCCCCTAGTGGGAACCAAACCCTGGACTCTCTGGTCTGCAGGCCGATGCTCCAACCGCTGAGCCTAACCGGCCAGGGCACCCAAGAATATTTTTCACTTTATTTTCAGAGTGGGAGGGAGGGGCAGAGAGAGAGAAACATCAGTGTGAGAGAGACATATCAGTTGGTTGCCTCCCTCATGACCCAGGGCTGGGTACCAAACTGCAACCAAGGCACGTGTCCTTGACCAGAATTGAACCTGAGTCTCCTTGGTCCACAAGCCAACTCCCTAACCGCTGAGCCAGACCAGCCAGGGCTCCTCTATCATGTCTTCATGTCAGAGCCAGAGGCTGTGGAAGCCTTCAGAAGGGGTGCCTGAGCTCTCCTCCCACCTGCTCACAGGTGAGAAACGGAGGGGGTGTGCCTTTCCCAGTCCTCGGGGTCGTCCAGAGAGACACACCACTGACCCGACCATGCAGGATGACCTGACCTCAGGCCCCACGTTCTCCTTCTCTCTGGCCAACATCATTGCCTCCAGCCAGCCGTGCTGACTCGCCTTAGGTCCCGTCTGCGGCTCGTGGTCCGCTCCCATCCCTTCTGGCCAGCCCCTCCCACCGCCCCCGCTCAGGTGGGCTTGTGGCTGCAGTCTTGCCCAGCCTCACGCCCCTCCCCCCCGGTTTGTTTTCTCTGTTGCGTTCCCCCATCTGACCCCCAAGGATATAAGACCTCCGAGTTTGTGGAACACGGGTGGGTGTTGGAAGGGCCTTAGACCGCAAGCTGGGAAGCGGGCCTCAGAGACACTAGAGGTCAGCCCTTCTCCAAGAAGCACCCTGGCCCAGTGGGACAGAGAGGCCTGGATGCTCGTGTCCCCAGCTCCTGGGTTCAGACAGGAGGTCCCCCGGCACAGGCCGCCCTCTCCGTGGCCCCCGTCAGGCTGTGAGCGCTGATTCGGCGGGCACTGGTCATCCACCACCCCGCCCTGGTGTCTGTCTCAGTCCCGCCCGCATTCCCCTCGCTTCCCCACAGGTCCAGAGTGCGAACAGGCTCTTTATTTTGAGGGGAGGGAGAGTTACCTTTGCTGGAGCCCCAGCTCCAGCTCCCAGATTCAACCGGCTCATGACACGAAAGCCAGCATCTTGACCCCCACGGCGTTGGGCAAGTCCCCTCACCTCTCAGGGCCACCACCACTCGCTCTGTGCCCCTCACAGCTGGGCAGTGAGGGCAGAAGGCAGGCCAGCCAGAAGAAAGCACTGTGGAGGGAAGTGAGGTGCTTTGCTAGAACACAGCCTGGGGCAGAGACCCCGGGTACCAGGGCACAGGTAGGTTCAGGGAGCAGGGGCAGAAGGTCCACGCAGAGGCAGGACCAGGAGAAGTGGCTGCAGGGTGGGCTGGAATCTTGTTCGATGGAGTTTGGACCGAAACCCAGGAAGGTCAGGCTTATGTTTGCAGACACCATAGACTGCGGTGTCAGTGTGGGAGACGGGCGGGAGAAGGGAGAGTGGAAACAGAAGCTCCCAGGGTGCCGGGGCATCAGTCAGGGGGGTGCATCAGTCAGGGGGGTGCACTAGTTGGGGGGATGCCAGGGCATCAGTCAGGGGGGTGCATTAGTTGCGGGGCGCATCAGTCAGGAGGGGGTGCTGAGGCAGCCACGTGGGTTGGAGAGGCGGTGGATTCTGTCAGGATCTCAGACAGAGCAGCAGTGAGATTCCGTAACTAATGAGATGTGGGGGTGGAGGAGGTGGGACATGACTGGAGGCCTCCCCCCAGCTTCTCATGCACTACCAGGGAATCACCGGGGCAAGGAAATGACGACCAGCCATCCAGTGCCCCTCCCTGAGGCTTCTCCCTGAGGAATCACCTACAGGTGGCTGTACCAGGGGTTTCCCAAGGGGTCCTAGACAGTTCTGGGGAAGCAATCCTCCTCCTGGTCTCTCCACCCCGCATCTGCCAGGGGAGCAGCCGGGCCAGTTAGGGGAGTAGGCCAGGAGACAGTGGGGCTCACATCAGCTACAGATCTACAGATACCCAGGGGGCACTGGACAAATCCCGTCCCGGGCCTTAGCTCAGCTCCCACCTCTAAAACAAGGGGGGGCCACTTCCTGCTGGTTAAGGACCCTCGGAGCCCCAAACAGACTAACATCTCTCGGGTTAAGAAGAATGGATGGAAGGCCTCATGCAACCAAGTGTTGTCTCTTCCCTCTATACAGCCTAAGATTCCAGCTAACTTGAACATGTGTCTCAGGCCCTGGCCGGTTTGGCTCAGCGGTAGAGTGTCAGCCCCGGGAACCAATGAATCGTGGGTTCAATTCCAGTCGAGGGCACGCACCTCGGTTGCAGTTCGTCCCTGGCCCTGGTCAGGTTGTGCAGGAGGCAACCAGTCGATGTGGCTCTATCACATCAATGTTTCTCTGTCTCTCTCTCTCCCTCCCTCCCACTCTATCTGATGATAAGTAGAAAAATATCCTCAGGTGAGGAATAAAAAAAAGAGAGAGAGAGACTCTTAAAAAAAAAGAAAGTGGTGTCTGCACGTAGTTGGAGTCTGGCTCTGCCACTTGCCATGTGCTAGACCCTGAGGGGTCACTTCCCCTTCCCGGGCTGTCTCCTCGCCGGCCGCAGGTCCCCGTGGCACTGTCGTGCAGGGTGGTGAGAAGCAGAACCATGAGTGAGGGCGGTCTGCCGGGGTCTCGCTCTGGTCGTGGGGGACCTGGGCCTGGCCCAGGGCCAGGGAGGAGCTTGTCCCTTGAGGATCTTTTTGATGGGGAATGTTTCTTTTCTTTGTTACACTTTTAAAGTTTTCTAATGTCTATTAGACTGAACATATATTACATGTTATTTATAGTCAGAAAAATGAATTTTTTAAAAGCACCTATGTTAAATATAATGAATAAAGCAAAAATAAATAAAGCTCAAAAAAGTGCATTTAGAGATAGGGGAAAACGCAACCATCACGTATTCATGCCAGGCCGCCTCACCAGACACTACGTGAGTCACCTCTATAAAAAGTCCGCGGGCATCTCCCCTGCCGTCCGAGAGCAGGCCGGGCGGGTCCACCCAGGGAGTTTTCCTCGAGTGCTGGGAGGCCTCTCCTCCCACCAGCAGCCGGTGCTGCCCCCCACCTGGAGCCCCACACCTGGCCCGGAGACCTGCAGAGCATGACTTGCAGAAACCATGTCAGAAGCACGTGGGCGCCGGGCCCAGGGCAGCAGGGTCTGAGACTGTCAATATGGAAGCTAATCCCAGGCTGTCGAGGGCTGTCAAACAGAGAAAAGGATTCAGCCACATTGTGTCACACCCAGGGGAGAAGTAGGGCCTTCGTGAGTGAGCTAGTTTGGCCCCAGCCTAGGGGTCCCTGCCTGGGAGGCACCCAGGGTTCCTTGCTGGGCAGGGGTGCCCCAATTTTCAAGGCCTGTTTCCGCCTTGAAAGTCTGCCACCCTCTCCCGCATGCCCAATCCAGGGCCCAGCCCGCTCATCACAGCTGTCTGAAGCCCTCTGCAGAGGCTTCTGCACAAGGTGGATTTTGTTGTACGTGGAGGTAGCTATCACCGTGTCCTGAGGAGGAGACAGCCCCCGCCCCACCTAGTCAGCGAGCTGTGAGACAGCGTTGCCCCAGTGGCACCTGAGCTGGCACAGGGAGGAACAATCCACTCTTCCCACGTGTCACAGCACTAGCCCCATGTGACAGGGCCATACGCAGGCCTCCCCTGCTCCGGGCCCTGCCTTCAGGGTCCAGGGCAGGGTGTGGCCTGGGAGGCTCCCGGTGACAGCCTCTGCCACCTCCACCTCCGCGGGCTGCTCCCACCCCCCAGCTGCAGACTCGCTGCAGACAGGCAGACAGAGCGACCTCCGGGGTAGGGGGCTGACCCTGGTTCTGACGCCCACCTGCTCTAGCTCATTCCTTTGCTCAGGAGTCGGGAGAAAGGGCTCTTTAGGGTTTGGTAACGCCAAGTGCACTGATAGTTTTGGTTATAGCAGCTTCGGGGGACGTAGGTGTTAGAGGATCGGGGACAGTGGCAAGTGGAAGCAGCAGGTAGTTTGAGAGGAGCAGAGAGGGATGGTTTGATCCTGTTTAGCAGCTCTGCGGGATGAGCCACGAGAAAGAATGAGAGAGATGACTGAGGACGGATGGGGCCGGGGGCCAACCAGGTGTGAGAAGCTTAGGTCAAGGACATCTCGTGTGGGGCCAGCCAGGAGGTAGAGACAGGTCCTTGTGTCCAGGGTGTTTACCGGGGCCTTTCTTCTCTACTAACCCCCATGCTTCTGTGCTTCTCTGCCCCACAGGCCCATCCACCCAGCGCCAGGTGCAGAATGGCCCCTCTCCTGATGAGATGGACATCCAGAGAAGGTAACCCCCCAGTAGGGGCCAGCCTGTGGCTAGGGCACCATTGGCCAGCGGAGGGCACACCTGTAGCTAAGACCAGGACTCCCAGAGGCACCCTGGGACAGGGCACAGGCCCGACCAGAAAGGAAAAGGGAGCCTGTCCATTGTGGCGTTGCCAGGGCAACGGGAGTCTGGGGGCACAGAGCACCACTGTCTCCCGCCGCGCGGCCCTCGGGAAGCCTGGCCATGTCCTGAGTGTTTGCTCTTAGTTGACGCATCCCTCCCAGGTGTAGGAGGAGGTCGTCATGACATGAAGGGATTCGGTGACCTGGCCACGGCCGCCCAGGTCGGGATCACAGGCCCTGGCGCCATCCTGTGCCGTCTCTCACTCTGTCCAAAGGCCTCGTGAGACCTGGCCCTGCCACTCCACTGGCACCTTGGCAGGTGCCTCGGCCTCTGTAGAGAATCTCCACCCTGCTCACTTGCCTCCCAGTAAGTTAAAGCGGCCAAGGCCGCGAGCACTGTGAGCCCAGGCTGCGCCGATGCCCTCGCGGGCCAGCCTGTGGAGGAGGCGCCCCTGGGGGATGGGCCCTAGGATGACTCCCCTGCCCAATCCGAGCTGCTCCTACAGTGTGAGAGCTGGGAGCAAGGGCCGGTGCTGCTGTCCTGAAGTTACCAAAGAGGTCCAGGTGGCCAAGGAGGGCGTGGCCTCCTCAGGTCCTGTTGCCAGGAAAGGCAGGGCCAGGGCTTGAACCTGGGCAGCCGTGCCCTGCAGTGGCTTCACATCCAGCTCTGGGGGAGCTGTGCCAGGAGGCGGGCCTGGTCCCCCCCCCCCAGGTTCTGGGAGGGGCCTGTGGCTAGCCGCCAGTAGGGCCCCGGGCTGGGGGTGGGCAGCTCCCTGAGGAGCGAATGAGCTCCAGGCCTCTGGCTCAGAGCCTGCCAGGACCCCAGGCAGGTGCCTGGCCTTAGTCTCCCCATTTGAATATGCCACAGGTTTTGTTTTTGGTTTTGTTTTCAAGATACTATTATCCATTCTTTTTTGTGTCTATTTTTTATTTTAGTTTTACATTGAAGTTTACATCTACATTATTTCGCATGGTTTCGGGTGTAAGTGGTTAGGCAGTCACATCTTTGCAGTGTCCCCCCGATGCTCCCAGTACCCAGCTGGCAGTGCGCAGTCACCACATGCTGTGGACGGTCTGCCCTGTGCTGGAATCTCCGTGCTGGGGCTGTTCTGTGACTACGTTTTGTGCTTCTGAGTCCCTTCGTCTCCTTCACCAGCCCCTCAGCACCCTCCCCTCTGGCAACCCTCAGTCAGGTCTCTGTGAGCGTTTCAGTTTTGTGTGTTCATTTATTCTGTTCTTCGGGTTCTACATGTAAGTGAGGTCATAGGGTCCTTGTCTTTCTCTGTCTGACTTCCCTCACTGAGCACAGTGCCCTGCAGGGCCCTCCACGCTGTGAAGATGTTGGGCCCTCCTTGCTCTGTTCTGTCCGACACTGAGGGCAGGGCGGGAATGTGCGTCCCAGAGAGGTCCCTTTGCCCCGATCCCATGTGGCCTGTCTTCCAGCCTCTCAGAAAAACAGCAGCTGTGCAAGGGCCTTCACACGCGCGCTCTGCCCCGCTGCAGTCCCCACACTGACCGTTGGCTGAGGCTCCTGCTGCTGTTTCTCCCATGAGGCCGCTGGAGCTCAGGGGATGGAAGGATTTGCCCCAACTGGTCAGGAGTTAGAGGTAGACCCAGGACTGGTGCCTGGTCTGGCCCAGCTCACAGGGCTGCCTCGGCCCAGAGGAGTGCATGAGAGAGCCCTACCAGAGAGCACAGGGCACATGGGCCCAGCAGATGCTCCCGCTGCTCTCTGAGGACTGGTCACACACCACGCTGCGTGGTCTTAACCCACCACCCAGGTCCCAGCTGTGGGAGGCCACTGACTTCCCAGCTCAGTGTAGCCAGCAGTCAACTGTCCACAGGCCGGAGCGCCCTGGAGGCCAGTGTGTGAACTGCAGGAGGCACATCACCGCAGGGACCCTGCTGGTGCCTGTCACTTAACACCGAGGGAGGCCCAGTGGAGGGACGAATGACACGGGCCACCCAGTGAGCTAGTGACTCTAAGCACAGGGACCTTCTTGTTTTCACACAGATAGTATCATAACTTCACACCTGGTTTTTAATTTTGTTTTTTTGTTTGTTTTATCCTCACCGAGGACATTTTTCCATTTTTTGTTCAGATAGAGTGGGAGGGAGAGAGAGAAACATCGACGTGGAAGGGACACATCGAGTGGCTGCCACCCGCACGACCCAACCAGGGCCGGGGACAAACTGCAACCGAGGTACGTGCCTTTAGTGGGAACCGAACCCGGTTCTCTCTGGACCGCAGGCCAATGCTCCAGCGGCTGAGCCAAACTGGTCAGGGCTAATTTTGTTTTTTTTGTTTTTATACTCACCCGAGGACATTTTTCCATTTTTTTGTTGTCGTTGTTGTTCAGATAGAGTGGGAGGGAGAGAGAGGAAGAGACAGAGAGAGAGAGAAACATCGACGTGAAAGGGACACATCGAGTGGCTGCCACCCGCACGACCCAACCAGGGCTGGGGACAAACTGCAACCGAGGTACGCACCCTTAGCGGGAACCAAACCCAGGTCTCTCTGGACCGCAGGCCGACGCTCTAACCACTGAGCAAAACTGGCCAGGGCCACACCTGATCTTTAAACATTCCCAAGCATCCTCATTTTGTTGAGGGCTTCTAAATATGGATTCTCTGCTGGGAGATCGGAGTTTTGGGTGATGCTTCAGCAGTGGGTAGAGAGGCTAATGCAGGTGCTGCTGGGAGCTTCTCAAACACCTTTAATGCCAAAGGGCCCTTTCCATTACTTTTTAGGGACAAGGCATAAGTCTTAAAAGAACTCTGTGAAGCAGGTGTTGTGATTATTTCATGGAGGAAGATCTGAGGCCCAGGGAAGGGAAAGCCTTGCCCGTGGTCAGGGAGCCAGAAAGCCCCTCCCTCTGGGTGGTCTTTGCAGTGAGCTGTGGGTCCCGTTCACCTTCCTCTTGGATGAGGGTGGCTGCTGCGTGCAGGAACCGTGCAGGCCAGCCCGCTGCGCTCAGGGCACAGCCTCGTGTCCCACAGCCGTCCGCCCTGCCCGCCCGCCCTGCCCTGCGACACAGCTGCTCACCTCCAGCACATGCTCCCACCGGGCCTGGGTGGGCGTCAGGCACCTGCCACCTGCTGCCCCGCAGAAATTTAGAGTTGGCACCACACCGCTGTAGCCTGCCGCCATCCCTGGTCTGCATGATTCCTGGCCCCTCCTGCTCTGGCATCTCCGTCCCAGATTCTGTGGACGTGTTTGTGGGTCAGTGCCCTCACTCGACCAGCTTTTAAGAGCACCCTGAAGCCACTCGGCCACACGGAGCTGGCTGTTGGTTCCCAGCGAGGTGCACACAGCCTGCCCTGCCGCGCCAGATGGCCCTGTGGGTGGAGGCCAGGCCTGCGCTGGCTCTTGCTGAAAGCATGAGCGTGCCCGCCGGAGTGCCCACTCCTCCTGACGGCCCACAGTGCCTGGAAATGGGGCAGGGACTCAGCCAGGTGCAACAGGAACAGGAGGTGCGAGGTCGGCTCGGCTGAGGCCACAGGCCACAAAAGCCAGGGGGCCCATCCCGCCGAGGAGAAAGCTTGGTCACTTGGCCACATGGTCACCAAGGCTTCGTGGGGGCTCCCTGTTTAGGGGTGCCTGAGACTCAGGAGGCTGCCGAGGGTGGGATGAGGGGAGCTCACCACGAGCCCCCAGCCCAGGGTACAGAGTGGGCTCCTGGGGAGAGCCGGAGACACCCTCCTCTGCAGCCTGCACTCCGTGGACACAGAACATGGAGAAGCCAGACCTGCCCGCTCTTGTTGCTTTTCAGACAAGTGATGGAGCAGCAGCACCAGCAGCAGCGCCAGGAGTCTCTAGAGAGAAGAACCTCGGCCACAGGTGAGAGCCCACGGGGCCTGCTCACGCCCAGGTGGTGCTGGGGCCCGCCGGGCCGTCTGTGAAGAACTACCGGTTACATGGGTCGCAGAGTGCACCAATCCCATTCCATGAGAGGGGCGGGCAGGCAGTTAGCTCAGTTTGGTTGGCCCCTCCCCACCAGCCTCTGGTGCTGGGATGTGGAGGGGAGACAGGGACAGGGGACTGCCCAAGACTCCATTGCTCCCTGACCTGGCCGGTCAGCCTTGAGACCCAGTTACCTGCCACAGCCCCCTTGGCCAAGGGTCACTCAGCTGCATCCCAGGGACCAGTGTCTACTGATGCCTGGGAGGGTGCAGGCACTGAGGAGGAGCACAGAACAAAAGGGACAGTTTGTGCCACCAAAGACCTTCCCTCCCACGGGACACCCACGATCAGAGCAGGACAAAGTTAGCTGAGCCCAAGGAATTTAGGCAAGTATGTGGCACTGTGGGTCCAGCCAGGCCTCGGATGCTGGGGAGGCGGGGACCGGCATAGGGAGTGACTGGGCCAGGGCCAGGCTCACCCCAATGGGAGTGGGAGGGGCAGCCTGAGCAGTTCCTCATCCCTCAGGAAAGCAGGCTGCCCCCTGTCCCTGCCCCCAGTACCCCCCCCCAGGAAGCACAGCAGGGGGCTGGGGACTGACTGAGCCCCTCTGTTGTGTTTCAGGACCCACTCTCCCACCGGGGCACCCCTCATCTGCAACCAGCGCCCCCCTCTCGTGTAGTGGGCCTCCACCCCCGCCCCCGCCCCCTGTCCCACCACCACCCACGGGGGCCACTCCCCCTCCACCACCCCCACTGCCAGCCGGAGGAGCCCAGGGCGCCAGCCACGAAGAGAGCTCTGTGTCAGGACTGGCCGCCGCCCTGGCTGGGGCCAAGCTGAGAAGGGTCCAGCGGGTAAGTGTCCCAGAGCACAGCCCAGATGGGCCGAGTGGACAGAGCCTTCCCGTCCCCGAGACACTGAGCAAAGTCCCCCACCTGATGCCACCTCTGCTGGCTGTTTGCCTGAGAAACCTGCAGGCAGCCCTGGGCAGACCATGAGGTGTGACCTGCTGCTGACCCTCACGGTGACCTTCACAACAGGGCAAGAAATAGTTCCCCTTTACAGATGAGGAAACGTGTTTAAACGACTTGTTCACGTCAGTTATCCGTGGTGGTTGGGACGTGGGCCCTGGGTCCATGCTGCTTCCGTGTGTGTGACGGAACTCAGCCCCCTCGCTCAGCCTCCTTCCCCAGCCTCCCGGTGCGCCCTGGCGGAGCTCTGGACCGAGGCCACCGGCTCTGACGCCTCTGGTGGAGAGTCCGGCATCCTTCCCAGGATGGTCTCCCCCCGTCATGCTGGGCTTGGCCAGAGGGCCCTGTGGCTCTGCACCAGCCTGGAGAGGCCCCTCTCTGGTGTGTCACCTGTGGGTTTGGGGGGAGTGTCCTCGATGACCCCTCGAGCCTCTGAGCTGCCGTGGTGGGAGTCGCACGTCCACACTCACACATGCCCCGTCACCCCCTCGAGTGAACCCCCCAGGCAGACTGAAACGCTGGCCCTTCCCCTGTAGCCGGAGGATGCTTCTGGAGGCTCCAGTCCCAGCGGGACCTCCAAGTGCGACGCCAACCGGGCGAGCAGTGGGGGCGGCGGAGGAGGCCTCATGGAAGAAATGAACAAACTGCTGGCCAAGAGGTGGGTGCTGGGCTCCCCCAACTCTGCGGCCATCAGGAAGCCCCTGCTCAGTCCTGAGCAGAAACTCGGCAGCAGTTTCAGAGATCAATTCAGAGGGGCAAGGGGAGTGTCCCCAGCACACACGAGGGGTGGCCCCAGCTGGCGAGGCTCGGCACGCCCCTGTGAGTGCGGACGAGGGCCGTCGTGGAGGGCCATCGCCCCAGAAATGCAAGAGCCTCCACCCACATCCTGGTCGGGCCCTGCGGCCCGGTGCCTGTCGTCTATTTGTCTGTCCGCACCAGCAGGTGTGGCACCAGCTTGCTCAAGGCCATTAGCCTGTCGCTGTGGCTCATGGTGGTTCCCCGGGGACACCTGAGCGGGTGGAGAGCTCACAGCTCCTCCGGGATGGGTTGATTTCACTTGTAACTGTGGCAGCAGGAGCACTGAGCGTCCCCATGCCCTGGCTCACCTGTCAGAATGCTCCCTGTGGGCGAGGGCAGGAGCCTGGCTGCAGCCCTGACCACTGCTACCTGCTGTCCCCCTCCAGGCTCTTCCCACTGCCCCCACGTCGGCTGACTGAGTGCGAGCTCTCTGAGCCCTGGGTCTTCCTGCCTTGCTTCACCTCCTTAAATCCGTGAGGCTCTGCGGGCGAGGTGGGAGCAAAGGCCCTCAGAGTGCAGGGAGCAGCCGCTTCCCGGCGGGGCAGAGCCAGCCTTTCCTGCCCAACGCCTCCGGCACACATGGGGGCGGTCCGGCACGGGGCTCCCCGAGCCTCCGGCACACACGGGGGCGGTCCGGCACGGGGCTCCCCGAGCCTCCGGCACACACGGGGGCGGTCCGGCACGGGGTTCCCGAGCCTCTAGCACACGGGGGCGGTCCGGCTCCGAGCCTCCGGCACACGGGGGCGGTCCGGCACGGGGCACCCCGAGCCTCCGGCACACGGGGCGGTCCGGCACGGGGCTTCCCGAGCCTCCGCCACACACGGGGGGCGGTCCGGCACGGGGCTCCCCGAGCCTCCAGCAGGGCCTGAGCATGGAGAGGTGACCCAGAGCGGCAGGCAGTGACTAGAGGGTGCAGGCTAACCGTGTGGAAACAGCGCCCGGGGCAGAGAGCCTGGAAGGCTTCACAGAAGAGGCGCCCCACCTGCTCGGCCTCGAAGGACAAGGGAGAGGAGAGCAGTCCAGGGTAGAGGGCAGAGGCAGGCTAAGTGCCTGGGAAGGCCGCGCCCTCCCCTGGGGCCCGGTGTGCGGAGACCTGCAGTGCGCTGGATTCCAGCTCAGACAGGCGAGGGGCCTCCTAGAAAAACAAAGTGTTTTTCAAAAAGAAAATATTTACGCTTTCCTCAAGTCCAAAACCAACACATTAACAATACCAGCTTGGCCTCGATGGCATAGACCAAAGGGAGAGGAAGTTCCTGAGAACAGGAACAGGCCGCCGGTGCCAGGAGCCGGGAAGACGCCAGACGCTGGTGGGCCAGTCTGGGCGCTAGGAGAACACGCGAGTTTGCGCAGCAGCAGGGATCGCAGTTGCTGTTTCAAGTGCACCTCGGCGCTGGGCGCTGGGTGGAGCCCCTCTGTGCGGTCACCCTGCAGGGCTGGCCTGGCCTGTCTGTGGGGAGTGGAACCCCATGGGGCAGAGTGGCCGCAGGTGGGCCCGTGAGGACACCGCCGTGGTCCAGGAAGCCGTGATGGTGCCGGCACAGTTGTCCAAAGTGAGACGGGAAAAGGCAGGTTTGGAGTAATGCAGAGGGAGAAGCCACCGGCCTTCTGCTGTGGGGAAGAAGGTGGTGTCTGCAGAGCGACGGCGGGTGTGCTTCCTGAGATGAGCAGGCTGAGGAGCCTACAGCATGGCCCCGCCACCCAACTGGTGACAGCCAACCGCGCCCTCACCGCTCCGGGCTGCTGCTTTTTTTAAATTTGTTTTCTTTATTGATTTTAGAGAGAGAGGAAGGAGAGGGAGAGACATTGGTGAGAGAGAACATCCACTGACTGCCTCCTGCATGCCCCCCACTGGGGATCGGGCCCACAACCTGGGCATGTGCCCTGACCGGGAATCGAACCGGAGACCCCTCGGTGCATGGGTCCATGCTCAACCACTGAGCCACACCAGCCGGGCTCCAGCTTCCTTCTTGATGGGCCACTGGCCCCACGAGTTGTGTGCGCTGGCGGCTTCATAGAGCTAAAGATCCCCAAAGACACGTCTTGGGGAATATTGAGGGTCTGTGTGTGCAGATCAGGGAGTTGGCCATGTGTAGATGACCTGTAGGTTAAAAGGGGGGGGTGATTTGTGAAACGAGAATTCATACTGTGGGAAATGGCGTGAGTTGTCTAGAGGGCATCAGCGTGGGCCAGTCCAGGTCTCCTTTCCGAGCTCCGTGGAGTCTTAGTGGTGGTGCATGTTAGGTAACACGGAGGGAGGGAGGCCCTCCTCCCTCCCACAGGCGGTCTGCTCACCCAGGCAGGTCGGCCTGCAGTGTTCCCACAGCCCTGTGACAGGCTGCAGCCCGGAGGGGCACCTCTCCGCATCCCGTGTGCCAGGCTCCCAGGGACCTCAGCCCTCTGGTGCTGCAGAGAGCCACGATGCCCCGGCCTCATCCTGTCTGCTCAGGCCAGCTTGGTGTCCAGGGTCATGGGACGAGCACAGAGGCCTGGACACTCAGCGGGCATTGCCACCAACCAGATGGGGACTTGGACAAGCAGGGGTCAGACCCCCCCCCCAGGATCCTCTGAGGACCAGCTGTGTCCGCAGAGTAGGTGCGAAACCCCGAGGAGCTGATTTGTATCTTCTCGCCCTGTGTTAGGAGAAAAGCAGCCTCCCAGACAGACAAGCCGGCTGATAAAAAGGAAGACGAAAGCCAAACGGTGAGCAAAGCCCCCTGGCCCACCCCACCGCGGAAGGCTCCGGCCCCGCGCCAGGCCTCTGGGGCACAGAGGTGACTTGGTTTGGACATGCACGTGGTGGGTACGTCACCAGCTGGTCTGTGGGAGAGAAGGGCAGGGGCCCAGAGGGGACGGTGGGAGGGCCTGGGAGCGCACATGTCCGTCCAGCCTGTGCTCCTGAGCGTCTGTGGCAGCTCTGCTTTGGAGCCCACGGCCTCGGACCAAAGGCAGAGGAGCAGGGTCGGGCCCAGGAGCGCCCTCAGGGAAGCCCCTGCGGTGGGGAGCGGAGGCCCACGCAGACGGATCACGGCTCCTGGACCGAGGGCTGGAAGACCCTCAGTTTTCATTTTCATATCATTTCTGTTCCTGATCCTGAGTCCACTGAGTCCAGCAGGAGCGGGACAGAGGAGCCAGGCGTCCCGGAGCCTGGTCTGGCCACGCAGGCCCAAAGTATCCACTTCCACTTAGGTGCCTCACTCTCTTTTCCTGTTAAGCTTTTCCTAGAAAAATAGACTCCTATTTAGACCTTAGCTACAAATGGCACACAGGCTGCATCTCGATGGCAGAAGGGACTGGACGCCAGTGCCACTCACTGCCCTGGCCCTCCCCCTGGAGGATGCACCAGCGAACACCAGTGCCCACTCACTGCCCTGGCCCTCCCCCTGGACAGATGCACCAGCGAACACCAATGCCCACTCACTGCCCAGGCCCTCCCCCTGGACAGATGCACCAGGGGACACCAGTGCCCACTCACTGCCCAGGCCCTCCCCCTGGACAGATGCACCAGCGGACACCAGTGCCCACTCACTGCCCAGGCCCTCCCCCTGGACAGATGCACCAGGGGACACCAGTGCCCACTCACTGCCCTGGCCCTCCCCCTGGACAGATGCACCAGCGAACACCAGTGCCCACTCACTGCCCTGGCCCTCCCCCTGGACAGATGCACCAGGGGACACCAGTGCCCACTCACTGCCCAGGCCCTCCCCCTGGAGGATGCACCAGCGGACACCAGTGCCCACTCACTGCCCTGGCCCTCCCCCTGGAGGATGCACCAGCGAACACCAGTGCCCACTCACTGCCCTGGCCCTCCCCCTGGACAGATGCACCAGCGAACACCAGTGCCCACTCACTGCCCTGGCCCTCCCCCTGGACAGATGCACCAGTGAACACCAGTGCCCACTCACTGCCCTGGCCCTCCCCCTGGACAGATGCACCAGCGAACACCAGTGCCCACTCACTGCCCTGGCCCTCCCCCTGGACAGATGCACCAGCGAACACCAGTGCCCACTCACTGCCCTGGCCCTCCCCCTGGACAGATGCACCAGGGGACACCAGTGCCCACTCACTGCCCTGGCCCTCCCCCTGGACAGATGCACCAGCGAACACCAGTGCCCACTCACTGCCCAGGCCCTCCCCCTGGACAGATGCACCAGGGGACACCAGTGCCCACTCACTGCCCTGGCCCTCCCCCTGGACAGATGCACCAGCGAACACCAGTGCCCACTCACTGCCCTGGCCCTCCCCCTGGACAGATGCACCAGCGAACACCAGTGCCCACTCACTGCCCTGGCCCTCCCCCTGGACAGATGCACCAGTGAACACCAGTGCCCACTCACTGCCCTGGCCCTCCCCCTGGACAGATGCACCAGCGAACACCAGTGCCCACTCACTGCCCTGGCCCTCCCCCTGGACAGATGCACCAGCGGACACCAGTGCCCACTCACTGCCCAGGCCCTCCCCCTGGACAGATGCACCAGCGAACACCAGTGCCCACTCACTGCCCTGGCCCTCCCCCTGGACAGATGCACCAGCGAACACCAGTGCCCCTCACTGCCCTGGCCCTCCCCCTGGACAGATGCACCAGCGAACACCAGTGCCCACTCACTGCCCTGGCCCTCCCCCTGGACAGATGCACCAGCGAACACCAGTGCCCACTCACTGCCCTGGCCCTCCCCCTGGACAGATGCACCAGCGGACACCAGTGCCCACTCACTGCCCTGGCCCTCCCCCTGGACAGATGCACCAGCGGACACCAGTGCCCACTCACTGCCCAGGCCCTCCCCCTGGACAGATGCACCAGCGAACACCAGTGCCCACTCACTGCCCTGGCCCTCCCCCTGGACAGATGCACCAGCGAACACCAGTGCCCACTCACTGCCCTGGCCCTCCCCCTGGACAGATGCACCAGCGAACACCAGTGCCCACTCACTGCCCTGGCCCTTCCCCTGGACAGATGCACCAGCGAACACCAGTGCCACTCACTGCCCAGGCCCTTCCCCTGGACAGATGCACCAGCGAACACCAGTGCCACTCACTGCCCTGGCCCTTCCCCTGGACAGATGCACCAGCGGACACCAGTGCCCACTCACTGCCCAGGCCCTGCCCCTGGAGGATGCACCAGCGAACACCAGTGCTTTCATACCCCCCTACCATCAGCAAGTTGAGGCTGACCCGATGTGACCCCTGGGCCCCAGCCCTGCCCCCAACTTTCCCATCTTCCTGTCTGCAATCTCCTCAGCCCCAACACTAACCCTCCTCATCCTACCCTTCTCTGTAAACATTACTCCCAAACAGCCTTCCAGATCCCCAGCGAGGTGACTTTCCCAGGACTTGGTCCCCAGGCCACACACGTGCTCATCCTCATCCACTGTCCCCCTGCCGTATGCATATATATGTTTCCATGGATTCTAGAGAGAGGGGAAGGGAGATGGAGAGAGAAACATCATCGATGGCCGCCTCCTGCATGCCCCGACCGGGGATCGAGCCCACAACCCAGTTGTGTGCCCTGACCGGGAATTGAACCTATGACCTGGTGCACGAGGACAACACTCAATCTACTGAGCCACACCGGCCGGGCGTCCGGCTGGGCTCCTTTCTTTCTGTTTTTAATCCTCACCCAAGGATGTGTTTATTGAATTTTGAGAGAGAGGAACATCGATCTGTTACCTCCCATACACGCCCTGCCAGGATCAAACCCAAAACCTAGGTATGTGCCCTGCCTGAGACTTGAACTCGAGACCTTTCGGTGCATGGGACAACGCTCCAGTTACTGGAGCCACCCGCCAGGGCTGTCCCCGTGCCTTTCACACAGTACGGACGGGGCCACAGGGCACGGCCTCGTTTCCAAGTCAGCACTGCTTCTCTGGCGAGCCCCACGCCCCGCGCCAGCTCTCTTCCTCGGACCCCACTCTGTCCTGCTGTAGGCCCCGGGTTTCGTTTGCCAGGGGCCCGCGCTCAGCAGGCCTGCAGCACCCGACTGCTGTCCCCAGAGCAGTGCGGGCGAGACTGACGGCTGGCCGTCCTTCGCATGCTCTCAGCATCGTCCCGGCTCTCCGCTGAGCGCGGCCTGGGCTATAACGAATGGGGAGCAACCGAGCATTGTCTGAAAGGAGAGAGCCCCGCATGCGCAGTCGATGGCCCGGGGCACTCCGCCACTCTCTGGCCACTGGCCAGTTGTGCGAAGGACAGTTACACTGAGGTCCCCGCAGCAGGCTGGCCAGCCGCCCCCCAGCTGTCTTGCAGGGGAGCCCTGCCGTGGGCCAGGCCATGGGCACGTGCTGGGGACCCAGAGGTGAACGGGATGTGGCTTCTGTCCTCGTGGGAGACGACACCAAGAATGACAAGGGCAGAGAGGGAAGGAGCACCGGGGGCCCCGGGAGGCACAGAGGAGCCCCGAACCCTGCCTTCAGTTCCCAGGAAAGGGCCGTTTGCACTGACCCTCAGGCAGAGCCCAGAGCAGAGGGCAGCACGGGGAGCATTGCAGGGCACAGACAGGCAGCGTGGGCCTGGGCCCTGCCCACCCGTCACGCTGCCTCCCACCAACGTCTGGTGACTTCGGGGAGGGTAGTGAGGAGACCTGGAGTTTAGAACTGATTGGGACAGAGATAACTCAGCACCTCCTCTCCTGTGAAAGGGAGGTGAAGTGTGGTCAGGTCCTCCACCGCCAGGCCCGCGGGACGGGGGCTGTGCTGCAGCCAGCCCTGACTCCGGAGCCCAGCCGTGGGAGGCGGGAGCAGGCCTAAAGAGCAGAGGTCCCTTGGGTGGGTCCAGGTGGGTCCCGCCTGGCTCCTCCCGTCTCAGTGGACAGTGAGGCCAAAGCTGCCCGTGGACCGTGAGCGCTTGCACGACCCCAGCACACCCAGGCGCGCGGGCCTAGGGCAGGCTGCGTCAGGGTTGGTGCGGACAGGACAGAAGGAGCTTGTCCTGCTGCCCCTCCCTCCCCCGACTTCCTTGGGCCAGACCAACTCCCCACCAGGACGGGGGGTTTTCATTCGTTACTAATATTCACCATTTTGCTGATTGTAGAAGTAGCACATGTTCCTTTAACAAAGGAAACGTGTTTTGTAGATGGCCCCGTCAAAGCTGCCCGCCCGCCCAGCAGCCTCGGTGAGCAGACTGACGGCAGCCTCTCTTTCCCGTTTCAGGAAGAGCCGAGCACGTCCCCATCTCCGGGGGCCCGAGCAGCCAGCCAGCCACCCAGCTCCTCAGGTGAGAGGGCCCCTGCAGGAGGGTGACCTGGTCCCACCCTCACGCCTCACGGGTGAGCACAGCCGGCTAGAGGGGCTGCACGGGCAGGGGCTCCCTGCCACTGTCCTGAAGCCGCCACTGCTGAGCCAGGGCTTCGGCCGTGACCTCCGCACTGAGCACAGGAGTGCTGGCGTCCAGGGGTGGGCTGCCTCGGCCATCGGAGCTGCCAGACCGCAGGGGCCCCCACCCAGCCTGTCCTTGCCCCACCTGTCAGGTGGCAGGAGGTGCCCGCCTTGGGCCAGAGCTCTGAAGGGGAATGCTTACATGTCGCATTCATGTCACCTGCAAAGTGTCACCTGGTGGAAGGGGCAGTGCCACCATAGAGTCTTGCTCCACCAGAAGCCACCCCGAGCCCTGCTCAGAGCCCACCTGAGCCCCGGAACACAGGGAGGTCACTGGAAGTGAGGGGAAGGACATGGGTGGTGACTCAACACTCGGCAGACTCGCTGGGTGTCTGCAGGAGCAGGAGGGAGACAGTCTCCAGGCCTGGGGCGTGGCTCGGGGCGTGGCTTGGTCTCTGCACCAGCCCTGGGTCTGGTGCCTGTGGGTGCAGCTGCCTCCCTGGCAGACTGTGCTCTGAACCCTCTCCCAGGTGATGCCGTGCGGTGTCTTGGTGAATGACTGGGAGCACCCCGCGCCCAGTGCACAGGTCGGGTCAGGTGCCCTCCCAGGTGGGGGTGAAGCTCGGTGTAGTCACGCAGTCTGCCCGAGGCCAGGTGCAGCGTGGGTGTGCCAGCTGGCCAGCGCGCCCGGGCGGCTCTCAGGAGACCTGCCTCGGCCCTGCAGGCGGCCTCTGCTCACCCTGCAGTCAGTGGGTGTGGTTCAACAGCTCTCAACAAAAAATGAAATTTAGTTTAATGCCACTTAATTTAAAAAAGAGAAAGGAAAGGCAAACCAGCACTCACGCCCAGGATGCGGAAGGGCCAGCTGTGGTGTGGGCAGGACCGCGGAGTCAGTGGATAGCAGGTGCTCGGGCTGGCTGGGAGTGTCCACTGCCCGCTCAGCCCAGGCTGCAGCCCCGGGGACACCAGAGTGGTAGTGGAGAGGTGACCGACCGCTTGGTTCACCTTCCTAGGACAGTGGACTCTGGTGGGGACTCAAAACCAGACCACAAGTCAAGGTCGGCCAGGTGCTGAGTGGGGGACACAGGGTGACAGCAGTGTCCTCCACGGCCCTGCGAGAGCTGCCTGGGCCCAAGGGGGCTGCGAGAAGCCGGGCAGAGCATAGCTTCCTGAGGGGGCGCTGGGGGGCCTCCTGTCAGGGCTGTTGGGCGGGGCCTGGGAGCCCTCTGCCCCGAGGCCCCGCCCGTGACCTGCGTGACTTGACAGAGGCCGGCCGGAAGCCCTGGGAGCGGAGCAACTCCGTGGAGAAGCCCGTGTCCTCGCTGCTGTCCAGGTGAGCGGCCGGGGTGGCCGGGCGTGGCGGTGGGGGTGCGGCGGCCGCGCCCATTCACTGTCTGTTCGTTCCCCTGCCGTAGAACCCCGTCCGTGGCCAAGAGCCCCGAAGCTAAGAGCCCCGTTCAGTCACAGCCTCACCCTAGGTACCGACAGCCCATCCCGGGCTCCTGTGTCCCTGCCCGTGACCAACCCCGGACCCCGTCCCACGGCTTGTCGTCTAACCATCCTCTGGGCAAGGGCGGTCTGCTCTTCTCGGACCCGGGCCAGGTCGGGCGGGGGCTGCTTCTCCCCTCCTCTCGAGGGAGACAGGCCAGGGGTGACCTGCTCCAGGAGGCCGAGCCCCAGCGCCGGGCTCCCTCTCCAGGCCCCACCCCCACCCGTGAAGGGGTCTGTCGGCCTCGGCCTCACAGGGCAGGCGTGGTCCCGGGGACAGGAGCTGCGCCCACAGCCCAGCCGCGCAGGGACTGACCGCCCCGCCACCTCCCGCCTCGGCACGCAGCGCGCTGCCGGGTTCCCGGGGGATGCTGACCGTATTTCCCAACCGAAAGCTGGTGTGTAACAGCACAGGGTATTTGAAACTGAGGTCACCCCAAAAGTCAGAGGCAGACAACCCATAGTAACTGCAGGCCTCCGAACCCGCCGTAAGGACTGTCTCCATCGTCCGCCAGGAGCTGGGAACCGCTCCTACCACAGCAGGTGGCGTCTGTCTCCCTGAGCAGAGCACCCTGGCCTGGCGGGAGGGGCAGTGCCAGACTCGCGAGCAGGGAGGGCCATCCCACGGGCAGCCAGGATCTGTCCAGGCCTGTGGTCTCCAGTCTGGGCTGGGCCCTGCACGTCCCTGCTCGCAAGGAGCTCATCTCTGTCGGGAAGGCCTGTAGCTGTGGGTTCTGACCGGTGTCGCATGGAGACAGCCCTGGGGACAGGTGCTTTAGCGAGTGGGCTGGGCAGGCCTCTCTCAGAGGTGGCATGTGGGTGGCCCTGAGATCGTGGGGACAGCCTGCCAATCTGGAGGCGTGGAGGTACTGAGGCCCTGTGGCTGCGAAGCGGGAAGGGCGCAGGAGGGGGTTAGAGGGCGGGAAGGAGTCTCGAGGTGAGCGTTTGGACTTGGTCTGTGTGTGGGCCCAACCCCGAGCTCCAGGCACAGGGTGCCGAGCCGGGTCAGCTCTGGGGAGGCCCAGCTGGCTGCGAAGGGAGCTGGGTGGAGGGGCGGGAGGAGGCGGGGGCTGGGCGCCCCGCTCGGAAGGGGCGCTGTGGCTCCGAGACAGGTCTGTCCCCTAGCAGCACGGTCCCCCCGGAGCCCGCACTGTCTCGTCCAGGCACAGTCAGGTGTGCATGTGGGAAGAACAGGCACAGAGAGGAGGCGGTTGGCCCCAGTGACCTGGAAAAGTGCCGTGGAACAGGGACTCGAACCCACAGGATGAGTGTGATGGCCCTGGGGTCTCAGGCTCTTCCAAACGCGATCGGGACCGGGTTGGGCCTCTCTCTGGAGCTCATCTGGGAGGGGTGTGGGAGCATCTTGTTTGTTCATTCATCTCAATTCCATTCAGTGCACTGACCAATGAAATGTCATGTGGCGTCCAGGGGGTTCCCAGGTTGCTGGGATGTGACTGTGTCTCCCCTTGTGCACACCGGGCGCGTGCAGCGTGGCCACTGACCCGTCCACACGGCTGCGGTGACTGCAGTCGGGAGTCAGCAGCCTCCCCCAGTCCCTTTCCCGTGTGTGGTGAGGACTTCTGGGATCTGCTTTCTCGGGACTTGAAGCCACGTGCTGTGCATCACACCCTGGGACACGCCCATCTCCCAGCAGTGTGAGCCGGACCTCCCCTTCCTCCCCGCCCAGCCCCGAGGGCACCATTCAGTTCTGGTTTCCACACGCCTCGTCTGGATGTTCAGAGTCCACATAGAAGTGAGATCGTCCAGTGTTTGTCTCTCTGCCGGGCTTATCCACGTGTGGTCCGTCCACGGTGCCACCAATAGCAAGATTTCCTTCTGTCTCACGGCTGAGTGATTTCCATCGTATGTATGTCCTGTGTCTTCTCTTTTGTTTGCTTTTTGTTTTTGCTTTTATCCTCACCCGAGGACATTTTTCCATTTTTGTTCAGATAGAGTGGGAGGGAGAGAGGAAGAGAGAAACATCGACATGAAAGGGACACATCAAGTGGCTGCCTCCCACACGACCCCGACCAGGGCCGGGGATGAATAGCAACCGAGGTAGGTGCCCTTAGCGGGAACCGAACCTGCAACTTATTGGTCCACAGGCCTACGCTCTACCCGCGGAGGGCTCCCACGCCTTCTTCACCCAAGTCTGTCAGTGGACACTTAGGTGGCTCCCGTTCTCGCCGACTGAGCTAACGCTGCTGTGGGCGTGGCGCAGGGAGAAAGCCCTGGCTGGGACCGCTGCCCGGTCTTCCTTTGCAGAGGAGCCTCCAAGTGGCTGCAGCAGCCCCGTAGTTTCGTGCTCACTCTCCCTCACTGTGGACAGCCCCAGTCCTCGATGTCACCACCCGCCCTCATCTGTCCCGTCACGGGGTGCCACCTGCTGTCACGCCCACCGGCCTCGCCAGCCTTTCTCTCCACATGGGGGTAGACCCGGCCCAGGAAGTACGCCATGGTCAGTTGGAAAAGGCCAAGTCTTTAGACAAGCTTTTTGCCTAGATTTTCCAGGGAAGTGTCGTGTGGAAGACATTAAATTCCAAACCAGCTATAGCTTCAGTCCAGAAACCTCCCAAAGACGCACAGTCCAAGAAACCAAAACCGTAGCTCAGAAGAGCAAAGCCACACGCAGCCGGGGCCACAGAAGCCAGGCCTTCAGGAGTGCTCGCTGTTCAGAGTGATTCTGCTTCGTGCCCGAGGCGTCGTCGCCGGCTTTCCTCCGCCTCCTGGCCCGGACCTAGACCCCGCGCTGAGGGCGGCCGTGCGCTCTCCTTGCGGGGCCCTGTGTGCCCGTGAGGCTCCGGCCCGCCTGCTTGTGTCATCACGTCCGTGTGAGCTCTCCCACCAAACCTGCTCTGTCGGAGCCTGAGTCCTGGCCTCCGGTTGGGAAATGTGGTCACCATCCCCGAGATCCTGGAGAGGGGCGTTAGAACCCTTCTGCGTGGCTAGAGGGCAGCCAGAGGTCAAAGCAGAGGCACTTTGGGGACAGGGAAGCAGGCAATGCTCACCTGCAGGGCGGCCCCTGAGCAGGAGGCTCCGGTGAGCCTGGGCCCCTCTCACACGCAGCCCCCGGCCCTGCGGGACCCGACCCCCTTTCCACACCCACTGTCCCCCCCCAGGATGAAGCCGGCAGGAAGTGTGAGTGACGTGGCCCTGGATGCCTTCGACTTGGACCGGATGAAACAGGTGCGTGTCCTTCCCAAGAGGCCATGCAGGGGCCAGGGCTGGGGCTGTCCCGGATGCGCGTGGGCAGACAGCCCCAGTGGGGCCCTTGCTGCTGCAAAAGTCGGGGCCCGCAGGGGAGGGAAGTCGCAGTTTGTCCTCAGCCCCTGCCCACCAGGACTCAGTGTCCCTCTGCCCTCTGGCCCTCCAGAGGTGCCACCAGGGGGCCCCATCCCCTGCCACACTCTAGCTTTCCCCACTGGGGCCCTGGCTCTGGAGGGAGGCGCAGGGTGCCCCCGCCCCTCAGACACCACCCCAGCATGGCCAGCCTTCCTGACCCCACCGAGGCCCTGCCCCCACAGGAGATCCTGGAGGAGGTGGTCCGAGAGCTGCACAAAGTGAAGGAGGAGATCATCGACGGTGAGTGGGGCCCCAGGCCGGGGGGGAAGGGCCCCAGCGCCCAGGAGGCCTGTGGTTCTGTGCTGGGGAGGCTCCCTCCCAGCCCACAGCACCTCAGCACCTCCCCACTCTCGGCCGAGCAAGCTGAGGCTCAGGCGTGTCAAGGTCTTGCTCGGTCCACAGGCCTCGCTGTGAAGGCCTGGGCGCAGGGGGTGGCGGGTGCGTCCGAGCCGGGGCAGCCGCCGGCTCTGCTGTCTCGTCCGTGGACTCAGCTGACTGTTTACTCTGCTGCCCTTCTGGGGGCTGAGGAGCCAGGAAGCCCCGGAAGCACTGGACAGGCCTGACCCAGTCCACAGCCTGCTGGGCCCTAGGCTGGGGGGCAGGGGGCAGGGCCTTGTCACCTGAACCCCGGCAGTCCGCTTCCGGCGGAGCCTTGGGTGCAGCTGGCTCCACCCGGCAGAGCAGTGAGGCTCCTCCTGCCCCCCAGAGGGGTGAAATCACACCGGGGTGGCAGGCGGCAGCCCTGACTCTGGAGAGGCGGCTAGACTGGGAGCCTGCTGGGCACCCACAGACCCAGACCCCTGTCCAGAGCTGGTTACCGAGCCACACCCCGCCCTGGTCCCCCGCAGAGAACACTGGGTTCCTGTCTGTCCAGTCCGCCGGCAGGCCTGAGCTGGACAGATAAGGAGTTAATGAATGAAGAGGGCGAGACAGCTGGAGACAGAAGCCAACTATTAATTCGGCTTTATTGCTGGGTGACCCCCAGGAGGGGCTGCCGGGGTTGCGGGGCCTGGAAGCAGCTGTGTGCGGAGGGGGAGGGGCGGCAGGTGGAGGCAGGGGGGTGTGGTGGGCCAAGGGCTCCCCTGGCGGAAGCCGGGCCCTGGGGAGATGTGGGCGATGCTGGGCTCTGAGGAGCAGCTCCTTGTCCCTCAATGAGCGTCCAACCCTTGTCGAACTTTTCCTCTGGCCTTTGGCTCCAGGCCCAGTCCAGGGAAAGGCCCAGATTTGGGGGGATCCTCCGGGCGGGGACAGGAAGCAGAAGCCTGGGAGAGCCCGGCCAGGGAGTGGGGGAGGGGCGGCCTGTCCAGGCCTGTCCAGGGCTCCTGGTGCCTGCCAGCCCCCCCCACCCCCAGCTCCCAGACTTTGCACAGATCCCTCTCCCCGTGGGCCCTCTCCCGGGGACGGCCAGCTGGGGACTTGGAGGTGAAACCCAGGACCCGAAGGCTGTGCCTCTGCTCAGCTCCATCTCCTGTGCTCTGACCTCTGGGGCCCTGGGACGACCTCACCCAGAGCGTGGGGACAGGGCCTGTGGAGGAGGAAGGAGGGCTGGTCCCCGCCACACCTGAGCCTCCCCGCCCTGTCCTGTCCTCAGCCATCAGGCAGGAGCTGAGTGGAATCAGCACCTCGTAGGGCGCAGGCCTGCTGCCCGAGCCTGGCCCCGGGGACGGCGGGGGACAGCGGGGAACGGCGGGGGACGGCGACAGCGCAGCGGGCCCAGGGCCCCAGCCACACACTGATGCTGGGCTGTGCTCCACTGAGTCTTAACCTGGGAGAAAATATTAAAAGGAGGGAGAAGCTCAATTCCTGGATTTTTTAGATTCTACCTGACACAGAACACCAGGTCTACTCGCCTGTTTTGTATTTTATATTTGTCTATTTAAGTGTACATTTCTTTTGGTTTATAGAGAAGATACCCCCAAATCACACGCTTCATTAGATGGTTCCAAGTCCCTCCTGGGTGACACTTGGCACCCGGGCGCAGCTCCCCACATGGTGGTGTGCAGTCTGTCCACGCACCGCGGCATCTGTCCACGTGGTAATAAACGCTCACTGTCCACATGCTGGCTCCTGCTCACTCTCTCACGCCGGCTCTTGGTCGCTCCTGGCTGGGACACCCCCTTTCGGGGAGGGACCCACGACAGTGGTGACCAGGAGTAGTAGGAGCAAAGTGGGGGCCTTGAGGGTCGCTGGGCTGAATTCAGACATGGGAAGGACAGGAGGGTGAGCGGGCAGCTCAGGTTCATCCCACAGGGCTTTGGGGAGGCCACGGGAGCCACCCCACAGGGCGTGGGAGGTGGCCCTGAGTGGCACCCTTGCCTGGAACATAAGAGAGTCCGTGTGCATTCTGACCAGCAGGGCTGGGAGGACGCACCTGCTCGGCCCACCACAGCACAGACGGGCACTGCCCTGGGCTCGGCCTCTCTGGGCCCGAGGGACGCCCCCAGGACCTGCCAGTCCGCAGCCGAGCGAGGGCAGACCCTGAAAGCCGCTGACCCTCGGGCCCCTCGGACACTGCAGCCTAGCCCCCGACCCAGCCGTCCTCTCCGGGCCAAGGGACAGGCAGGGCCCAGTCTGGCTGATGTCGAAGGGATCGCTGTTCCTGGCCAGGCTCTGGACACACTCCGTCCCCTTGAGTGTCCTCAACAAACCTAAAGGGCAGGAAGGGGTAGTTCTGCGCGCTGGGCGGTCCGCCCTGGCTGGCCCCGTGCAGGGCGGCGTTACCTGCTTTCTCTCCCCCCCCCCCCCAGGGCCAGGGCCCTGCAGTCTCAGGCCTGGGGGCGGGGAGCCCGGGGGCTGACGAGAGGATGCCATCAGCCCCCACCAGTCAGGACAGAGCCATCCCCTTCACCGAGACACCAGCCACCTCCCTCTGACCTGTGGTTCCGTCTGTCCAGCCCCCGTGTATCTGTCCTGTGGCCCCTGTTCTAAGAGAATCTCTAGTCCAACGTCTCAGCTGGTGGGGGAGACAGACCCCACAGTGTCAAGCCGGAACCCTCTCGGGCTCGGGGAAGGTCTCCCATGGGGGTGAGGACGCAAGGCAGGCCTGGGGGCAGGTGGCAGGCACGGCAAGGTGGACCAGGGGAGGTGACCGCTGCAGCGCTCAGCGGGGTGGAGAGGACGGGGGCTGGGGGCCACATGGACTCTCCAGGCATGTGGGGCCTTCTGCTGCCCACACCCCTGAGGCTGCCCCCGCAAAGGCAGGCCTTCAGCAAATGTTGCCTAAGCCCCCAAGTGTGGGAGCAGGTGGGGTATGACTTGGGAACCGCCACAGGGGCTGCTGGAGCCGAGACCACCTCCTCACAAGCACACGTGGGTGTGGAAACACGCTGGTTTAATTCAGGGCATGGGAACCCTGGGAAAGCAGCCCCGCAGACGGCACAGAGCACGCGGCGGGGCGCCCGTGAGGCCAGAGAGGGGGCCTGGTCTGAGGTCAGCAGCAGTCCACATGCAGACCCCCTCTCCAGGCCCGAGCCTGTGCCTGCTGTCCCCCGCACGGCATCAGGACCTGGGGGCCAGCAGCCCAGGGCTCCAGGGAGGGGATGGGGACAATCAGCTCTGCGGGGCAGGGCGGGCGAGGCCTAGAGGGGCACCACAGGGTCCGTGCACACGGTGCCAGCAGGGCAGCTCACAGGGGGTTCTCGGCCAGCTTGCACACTCGCTTCATCCTGGCGTAGGGCCCCAGGGAGTCCTCGAACACGAAGTCCCAGAGCACCTTCACCCAGGAGTGGTGCTGCGGCAGGTGGTCGTAGTACTCGGGGGCGATCTTCCGCACCTGCGGGGGGGGCGGGTCAGCGGCTGCACCTGGCACAGACGGGCCTCACACACACGCACAGAGCATGTACAGGCACACACGAGCATGTGCACAGACACACCTGTCATCCCCAGGGTACCCTAGTCCAGCTCAGACAGGCAGGAGGCTGGCTGGTGCTGGCCATTACCCAGGGCACAGTCTCTGCCCCCTGCCCTGTCCAAATGCATCCTGTGTCCCTGGGGCCCATGCTGGAGTTTCATCCAGGAGCCTGGGAGGGCTGGGTCTCTCCCTCCAGCACCTGCCCAGTTCCGAGGCGCAGCTGGCCTGAGTCCTGCAAAGCCACGATCACCTGTGCTCCTCCCCCACTGCCCTCCCCGGCTGCCTGCCATCTGGCCTTGGCTCCCACCACGCCCCACCCTTGGCCCTCCCAGTCTTGATACTGCCACTTCCCAAAGGCCTGTCATGCACCCTGTCCCCCCAGCTCCCTGCCCCCATCTTCACAGGACGCCCCCAGCTGCCTCCTCCAGGAAGTGCTCCGGCCTCAGCACCTGCCTCAGCACCTCCACCTCCCTGCTGTCCTAGCGCCGGGAGGCCCTGCACTCCCCGTGGAGGACACGCTGGTGCATGGGGCCTGCGACACAGCTGAAGATGGGCTCGGGCAGATGTGGCCTCCGTGGGCCGAGCAGGGAGCCGTTCGCTGTGCTCAGAAGTACAGCCGCTTTCGTGACCAACTTGGGTCCAGGTTCTGGCTCCGCTGCTTCCTGTGGCAGGCCCCGCCCCTCTCGGGCCTCTGCCTTATCAGCGACGGGATAATGGTGAGGAAGGCGCCTGCCAAGTCGGCTTGCGAGGCCTAAATGAGGTGGTGTCCTGCACAGAGCAGGACCTCAGCACCTTCAGCAGGACCAGGAGGGGAGGGCCTGCGAGGGAGGGGGGAGGGGGAGGGGCTGCATACAGGCTGTGGGACTCGTACACGGGCCAGGGCACCAACACCTGTGCCGCAGACAAGCACACATAAGCACATGCACAAGCCGTGTACAGACCGGGCACACGCAGGCACACATGCAAGCACCCAAAGGCATGTGCACGCCCACGCCCACACGGAACACCCCGCTGCCCCTGCCCCCACACCTGAGCTCAGCCGCCCACACCAGACCAAACTCCTCCTCCGCTCTCTCCTCCTCTGGAAATTCCCCATCTGCAGGCCTCCGGGCTTCCACCCTGCGCCAACGCGGGCCAAACCCCTCGGGTTACAAAGCCCACCCTGCTCCCTCTGCCATGTGGGGCCCCTAGGGAGTCACCGGCAGTGCCCAGAAATGAGCAGGGACAGGGAGCCAGGAGGGGCACAGAGAGGGCAGCAGGTTACCCAAGGGCACACAGCCAGGACTTGTCATAGCTGGGCTCAAACAGGTTTCCGTCACCCTGGTCCGAACTGTCAATGCCCTCGGAGCCCCTGCCCCGCCTGGATCCGCCTTCCTGTTCTCCAGCCAGGCACTCGCCTGCCGTGCGGCCTCCCCCTCTGCCCGGGACCACAGCGGAAACCGGCCACCCCGTGATCAGCACGAGAGGAAAGGTCAGAGCATGGCCTCAGGGCTCCCCGCCACACCTCCTCAGACGCCTGCGCCCCTCACCACTGCATCGCTGGCCATGTGGCCACCTACCAGGGGCAGGTTGCAGCCCGGGATGCTGGGGAAGTCGTGGTGCTCCATGTGGTAACCCACGTTGAAGGTGATCCAGTTGAGGGGCCCGTAATAGGAGTAGGTCTCGTGGCCCTTGAGGAACATGTAGTGCTCAGCCACAAAGTGGCCGGAGATGGGGTGCAGCCCCAGGCCCAGCAGGGAGCCAGCCAGCAGGTAGACCACGGGCTTGAGCCCCCAGAGGGCGAAGAGGGTCATGTCGGCCGCCAGCTGGACCAGGGTGTTGAACACCTCCATGCGGGTCAGGGCCTTGGGGTGCACGCAGAGCGGCCGCAGGGAGTAGAACAGGGGCTGCAGCACCAGCCAGAGCAGCTTGCGAGCCGGTGTGCAGAAGAGCCAGCCCTCCAGGCGCGAGGGCAGGTCCACGTCCAGCCCGTCGCCGCCCAGGTAGCGGTGGTGGTCCACGTGGTACTTCTTGAAGGAGGCGGCATAGGGCACGCCCACCGGCAGGTTGGCGAAGACGGCGAACCAGCGGTTGTGGGCCACGCGGCCCGTGCCGAAGGCGGCGTTGTGCGAGATGTCGTGGATGGCCAGAACCAGCGAGTGGTTCACGCAGCCGCCGAAGGCGTAGGCCCAGAAGAGCAGCCAGCGCCAGGCCAGCCCCCGCACCAGCCAGCAGGCCAGCAGCTGCACCAGCACCAGGCCCAGCACCGTCCACTTGAGGTGAGGGTCCGGCCGCATCAGGGCCTTGATGGCTGGGTACTTGGCTGCAGGTAGGACCAGGAGAGAAGGTGGTGAGGGCCACAGCTGCATGGGCCCCAACTGTACGCCTGTCCTCCCTCCTTCCTCCTCCCTCCCTTCATTCCATTTCCCCCCACCCCCGGCTTCCCTCGGACGCCTTTCACCGCCCACTACGCCCCGGCACTGACACAGGAGGCTTCGCCCGCGTGGGTCGAAGACCCTGCCCTGTGCTTGGGGGTCTAGGAACAGCCTGACCTGTGGGCCGCAGGGACAGGCAGACCTGCCTCCCCACCACCTGGGGGTCGGGGTCTTTGCCACCAGCCTAAACAAAGAGCAGGAGGCACGACAGGCCACAGAAACGTATGTCAGGACTCCAAAGAGCTGCAGAGCCGGAGCGGCCGGCGGCCGGGTGCACCACACGCGGGACACGGGGTGGGGACTGCGAGGGGAGGCGGGAAGCCCCAAGCCCTCAGGAACCTCGGAGGGGCTGGTGGCCAGGGGAGAGGAACGGAGTGTTTCAGTTCTTCAACCAGATCCGAGGGAAATGCGATCAAGGGCTGAGTGCGTTTATTTTGGATGGTGGGCGTTTGTTGCAGTGTGTTGGTCCTTTCCCAGGACTTGCTTGACAGAAAAGGAAAAAACAGTGAGAGTGGGAGTTGGCCAAGCACAGGAGGGCCTTCCCCGCCCAGAAGCAGCAGGCCCTGGGGCCGGCGGAGGGAGGTGGGGGAGTGCCCTTGATCAGGACAGCCATGCCTTCTAGAAACCTCCCAGCTGTGGGCAGGAGGGGTCAGCAGGGCCGGACAGAAGGCAGGTGAGGCTGGTGCTACATCCCGGGACAGGGATGGACCGAGGTGCAGGGGTGGACAGAGGGAACAGGCTGTCCAGGGCAGGGCTTTTCCCAGGGCCCCCTCGGGCCACGCAGGGTCCACCCCTCCTGCCCAGCGGGCAGTGTGAGGCCTCAGGTTCACCCTCCCAGACTGTCCCGTGAAGAGGGTCCCAGGACTGCAGCAGAGACTGGGCCCCAACTGGAATTGGCCCGGCCTAAGCCAAGTCCTGCCCAGCTCTTGCCTCCAAGTGACCCAGGAAGTTGCTGCCCCTTTGTGCTTGGTCCAGAAGAATATGGCAACTCAGTTCAGCCCCAAGGCCCCTCCTCCCTCCTGCCAGCCCTGTGTCCCATCTACAAATGAGAAGACTGAGTCTTA